AGTTTATCTATAGATAATTATATATCGGTCAAAGAAATCATTTAGATATTTAACAAAAGTTATACAAAATTAGAATATCTATCAAAACATGGTAATTGCGTTGCGTAGAATAATCGTATACTGACCAGCTCGTGAATACGTTTGCAAATGCGAAGTCAAAAACCTCACTTTTTAGAATGTGTAAATTGCAATATTCCGTAGTATATCCTACAAATATTACAACACTATAATATTATTAGTTAGTTTTAATATATATTCGATTTAAAACTATCGTTTTATTACATAAATAGCTGAGAACATATTAATTATTTTTAATGTTAGACAGTGTTTGTAAATAAGTCTGTGTGAATTAAATACATGTATACGTCAGATTAATTACTTAAATTAATTTAATTGAAAAAAAAAAAATCTGATCACACGGGTTCTCAAAGTTTTCTGCTATCTTGATTTACCCAGATATTCGTTTAGGATCGAATTTCCGAATTTCACCGTTCGACTGAACCTGATAGGGAATAGGCTTAACTGAAAACTTTTGTCCGATACGATGAAGGTATTTACACAAAGGAATATTGTTGAATCCAATCACTCGATTGATCGGAAACGGAACTCGAGTCCACATTTTTTTTTTAATATTATTATTTTGTTTAATTTAATCAAATTCAACTTTATATTAAGCTTGAGAAAGTGAATTTATTATATTGTTATTCTTGGTTATATTGTTATTCTTTCTCAACAACTACGAAATAAGAGTGTGATTGTGCCTGTACTTTTCTGTATTTATCTGAAAAAACTCTTTGGTACGAATATTTCGCTTGTAGCGTAGGGTAATCAGTACTTAAAAAATTTGCCAACTTAATTGGAAAAGCACTCGTCTGCATACACGCACGGAATTTTTCAATATTTTTTTATTCATAAAAATACCATTTCGAATGCAATATTTCCAATAATAATGTCTCTTCACATGAAAAAAAATATTTATACTTTTAAGAAATTGTGCTTACAATCACGATTATTCTATATTTCAAATAGCATACGTAAAAAAAACTTGATGATTAATATTTGTATAGTTCTTCTTGTCTTATTTTGTTTCAAATGAAAATGATGTCAGCCATTGATTCTGTTAAGTTTTTGAAGAAGGAATTTCCAATAAAATATTGTAAGTCTGAGGAAAAACTAACTTCAGACACGCACAATACACATTGTAACGTGTCCTTATGCCATTAATTTAAAATAAACAAGCAGAAGAACGGATAAAGCTTCGTCTGCTTTTGAAAGCTTTTGGCATTGTGATGTTTCACCTCTCGTTTTTATTCTTGATGACACTAAATCTCGTAGGAGTCGGATTGGCGGTGAAAAAAATCCATGCGGTAAGAAATCTGTAATTTAATGAAAATTGTACGCCTTGTGTATTAGCAAAATGCGCAATAGGTATGTAATAGCAAGCACGATAAAATAATACGCGATTATAAATACGCGCACTGACATATCGTAATGCGGACAGGTTATACTTCTTTTTCATATTAATACTGCGTATCGAATTTTGACGATTCCTATAAAAATGAGTCAATAGGTTAGCTTAATATATAGAGTACCTGTCCAAAATATAATATAATCAAAACAGCTGTTTTTCTGTTTTACCCGCGTATCCCATAGGTAAAAAAGTCATATTCACACTTTCGCGATCTCTGCGGATTTATATCGCATTATAATATTATTTATATGTAGACACTTATTTACACAAGCTATATACCAATTGAAAACAATAACGCCACCAACAAAATTATTTTAATTGAATCTCTCACAGTAACGAGTAGCTATTTCTGCTATTTATTCAACAACGCCCTCCCCTATACAATGCATTGTAGTCTCCATCACGAATCCCTTGACACAATGTAACACAGCCCATGATGCCTAATGTGCTCTTCCCCGGTGATAAACAATAAGTAGCGCCATAATAACGTTTTATTCTAGAGAAAATGTGATATGTTTCTGACGGCTTTCGCAATGGTTCCGATTTTCTTGTCACTTTGTGACACTTCCTAAAAATATCACATTTCACAATATTATATATGAAATTCTTACCTCTTGTCTGCCTGTCCGCTTAAACACAATTTGCTCGAAAACTACCGTATAGATTTCACACGACTTTCACATTTAATTAATCGCAAATGGTTTTAAGTAAAGTGATAGCTACCTTTAAATTGTGTACGTACGAGCCCGGGGCAAATCGATAGTTATTTTTTAGTTTTTATTTAGACAGCGTTAGATAAAAAGACAATGTTTACATTATAAATCTCATTTGTATATCATTTGTATCTCATACGCACTGATAAGTCTTTGTTTGCGCATTACTTTTATCTTGATTTTGATACTACTTTTTATATTAGAGACCTAAATTTGAACCCATTAAAAGGTTGTTTTAATAAATTTATTAATATTAATTAACATAAAGCGACGCGACGCCTACGTGTCTACAGTGTGTGATTAATGGAATTCATTGCGCAATCCCGGCACTGAACGTTTCAAAATGGAGTTTCCTAATTTCACGCAAACTTGTGTAAAGGTATGAAAGCGGATTTTTGATCTCGCTTTTGATACGAGTTGATTCCTTGCTTATTAAATTTATGTATGCGTGAAACGGAGCGTAAGATTGGTTACAAAGAGATACAAAGAGGGTGCGTGATAAGTGAAAGCGAAACATGAAAATCAAACTTCTAGATGATCCTAAATTACTTAACAACTTATTGGATATAAATTAAAATTCTAAATTACCAACTTAATGTAAAATAGGTTTTAATCGTCACCTCGTAACATCAATAATTGTATTCAACATCACGCGTTTTGCTTTCTGCCTCTATGCGTTCTTTACGCTAGTAGTATTATGACATCACTATTTGTTATATATTTAATTTTATGTTAGTTAATTTATTGATGAAAGTAGATATCCTTTTAGCATTATTGTATATTTAATAAAAATATGTTCAAAATTGTAGAATCACCTAAAAAATTACGAACTTTTTTGAAATAAGAGCAAATATAACTTACACTGCTTTTTGTTAAAATTATGTGCTTTTATTACTATTTACACATTTGTATTCAACTAAACCGCTGTTGAAATTGTTCAATTTACTGATTCATTGTGAAACACCTCGGAATAATCCGTTCTACGTCACCGAAAGTTAGTTTGCGTTAACTACACTTTATGGGGGTGTTCTATAGAGGACCGTACAAAAGCAACATTCCGTCGGACTGAGCAATCGTCCCGCCGTCAAAAGGGGAATTATTTGCTCCATCGGGAATAATAAACATAATAATTTTGCGCCAGTTAAGCCTGGTTTACATAACACAATCGACTTAGAATTCCAGTCAAACAAACTGAAAGTATTTTAACTAGAATTTAAGAATATTCGCAAAAAAATATTAAGTTTACAATTACGAATCAAGACGAAACGTTTTTTTTTTCATATACAAATTACTCTGTTAAATTTCATCACATCAATCGTCATAACACACTGCGAAATATAGAAAAGTCGTATAGTATTTCGTAATAAAGAAAACAAAAACATCAGATCAAAATCTACTAATCTTTTTAAAAGGCATTGTGATCATATTTATTCATTCATCCGTTCACAGCTTTAACCTCCTTTTAAAGACTTTTTTGAAGTACAATAAAACCGCTCGTGTGTAACGCTCCTAAAGCATTACTCCGAGTCAGAAGGAGCCGGTGTACTGAGCTTGGCGTATTGTACTCTCTCAATATCGTTACGGTAAGGCTTGTTTAATTCCCTGCTCCGTTAAAAATAAGAGCCTTTTTCTCCTGCGTTATTTATAGAGGCAGCCTTATACAACTTGGAGTGCTACATTATGATGATGTACGACAATTATGATGTACAAACGGAAAACAAAACAAATTTATCAAAAGTTGTGCGTGTAGGTTTGGAGAATAAATGTACGTTTATTCGTAAAAGTATTTTCTAAGTTTATTTGTAATTTGTAAAATAGAGAATTATATTGTTTTTTTTTCATTAAAAATAATGGAGCGGTCGGTGGTATAAATAAGAGTTATCTGAAATTAATATATCTACTTTTACATTTCCAAATGGTGTGATTATTTCTTTGTTATAAAACAATTATGCTTAAATATTATCTATTATTGTTTTTAACACAAAGAAAATTTCCTCTGCTGTCAACCTTAATGCATAAAAATATAGTTCCATCATTCTTAAATAAAAATTCAGATGGTATTTGTAATTAGCATTGGAAAAACAACTTAAAACTTACATAATTAGGTTTTAATTTATCGTATCGTGGTCATTCTTTGGGTAGGCCATCAATCAGTGTGATGGTTGTTTATCGCCGTGTATCAGCCCGTTTCCATCTCATTTAGCTGGTCCTAACAAAGTTGACTCAAGCTAAATTACCGCTGCCACAGTTGAAAAAGCGAACAGTAAGTTAAATCCTTAATATATATAAATTTTCGCTTTTCAAAAAACTAAAACATCAATCACTGATAGACACGCTTCTTACTACAACATAAGATGTGCGTGTATTAGATAAAACCTATATTCTAAGACATTCAGACTATTACAGTAAATAAAGGTATACATTGTTGATATTTTTCTCCTATTGCTTGAGTATTAATAGTCCAATATACGTACGTACTTCTAGCGTGAATGAATTGTGACCACAGCGTCAGTGTCGCTCGCTGTGGTTCAAGCTCAGTGCAGCGTGCGGTCTAAGCTTGCACGTCAAAGGAGATTAGTTCGTTTAGTCGGTCAACTAGAAGGGTTGTCAAGTTTTCTCTTTAAAAGCAACGGAACGGCGATATCATTTTAAAAAATCAATTTAATTATTTATTTCGTAGTTTCAGTAAAAATAAACGTTGGCGACCCTATCAGAATCGATATTTCTACCTTAGAAAAACGCGAGTGTGTCACCTGGTTAGAACAGTTCGTTGTGTATGGCCTTACTGTGAATCTGTGCTGAAAAACTTAAACAAAATGGCGTGGGGTTATTGGTCTGCGTCCTCCGTGATGCCCGACCGCGGGCGGAGTCCCAGAAGAGCTGGCACTTCCGCGGTGCACGTGCACCCGAACCCACCAACCGCTCGTGAAGTAATGGAAACTCATGACGAGAGCATCTTACATACGGCGTCGACCTCCCGCGACAGCAGAGAGCATTCAGCGTCCCCTCATTCGTCGTCGAATGGTGGACATTCGCACCACCACGAAGTGCGACACGCGGTGCCAGCGAGCGCGCTATTCGGAGAGAGCTACGGGGAGTTATCGAGAAGACCGTCATTAGACCTGGGGTCTGTTCGGAGCGCGTTAGCGTCTTGCTCTGGTGGTGGTACTCTTAGTGCCGGCTCTACTCTGACCCGAGGAGGGACGTTAGCCGATTACCTACCGCCGACCCCGTGCCCCCATCATCACAGAGTCTACGTAGACCACCATAAACATTACGAACAGCCGATCCAGCCGGTTCATGTGGGGGTACCTCATTATTCTCACTCCCACTCCCACTCGCACGCGTCGAGTCGCCACCACACCGACGATGAAGACGATCTGGAGCCCGCATACGCCACAGGTATGATACAGCATAAAACTTTCATAATTAACTAGAACAATAACTAATATTAGTTTTCGCCGGAGCCGCTGTTAACAAATTAGTTTTCCTTTTTTATATAAGGCAACTTGTTTTGATATTGTTACGATGCGGACCTAATTGGCAAAGTTTTAATTTGAATCTTTCTTTTTTAAACGATTTAGAAACAAAATATTTAAACTTAAGTCGTTAATACTCGTAATACAATACTTTGTTAATATAAAATCCACTAAAAAATGTTGAAAAAAAAACGTTAAATGGCAAATGTTAATTATCGTTTTTTAAATAGAAAGGTAGTTAGCGAACCAAATAAAAAATCTTTTGAAGCTGCAGGTATGTCAAAATCACATCACACATTCGATTACAATTTTGATAAACATACTGTTCGTTGTACGCGAGCTTCATCTGAAATAGCCATTAATTCCTTAATTAGTGTATTGTGTAACATAAATTTGAAAATCTGCCCATACCACGGACCTAATGTGTTTCTAGGTATGCCGTTATTAAATATTCATTCAGAGTAAGTTTTATTGTTAGCCTCTTTTTACACCGTGCTAAAACATTACAGTTATTCAATGAGGAAGTATTAAAAAAAAGAAAGCACTAAAAAGTACCTCACTAGATGGCGACCCTAGCAAAAGTTGATTTTTGCAGGAAACGAATGGTATCAAAGATAGTAATTTCCGTTCCTTTTAAATAACATATTAAAAAACTGAACTTTGCAAAGTTCGAAAATTATCAATCAATACAAATACGTAAGAGTACAAATAAAATATGAGTTGTTTATTGAGTTTTGAAAATTAATTCACTTTTACACATGAAAGAAAACCGGAAGGGTTGTGTCATGGAGAAATCAAGAACGTACCGTAGCGACATCTAGTTTGATTTCGGGAACTATTTTTTCTAATACTTCCTCATTAGTAAGGTAAACCAGCTAGGAACTGACTATTCGAGGCTCTCGTCAATTCACAGTAGAGTCCAATCGTATGAAGTTTAAGTTATAAACAATTTTTATAAATCACCACTAATGTTCTTTTGCATACAAGAGAAGGTGAACCTTGTAACATTATTATGTTTGTTACTAAAAATAACTAAATAAATCAAGAATAGAATAGAAATTAGTGTTTTGTTTCTGTCTAGAACTATAATATAATGTCAGGAATTAAAATCGCGGCCTCAGGAATTTCATGAATTCCTAAATTAATCGTCTCTCGACTACGGAGGTTTTCATTCTATTGAAACTTAATATAACATTTGACTGTAAACACTTAAAATGATTTATTAATTTTCGACTCTCCCAATCCTTTAATTTTAATTTCAAGTGATGGCGTCTTTCCGTTCCAGATTTCTAATAATTCTACTGAATTTGACCTCCTTAATCCCTTAGCGTATTTTAGGAGCCGGCCTAATTTCAAAGCATTTGGATCGGAATGCCCTTTTATTTGTCACCCTTTGTACCGTCGACAAAAAAGTCGATAAGTTTTTATTCATGAAATATAATTTCAGTTGTGAATAAAAAATTACTAATTTGATGTATACTTTTTAATTTAGCACGAAAAAACAAAGGATAAGGTAAGCATGGTAATTGCAAAAGATATTAAATTCATTCGATTGGTCTCCGAGACAATTTCTTTTATAGCATCGGATGATCACTAAATATTTTTGGAGTATTGTCAATTTTGAATATTCTTATGTGTTGACTGTACATTTCAACATTTTAAATTAAAAATTAAACAGTCAAGTTTAAAATCTTTTACATTAAAGCGACGTCTACTTGTACAAGTTTTAACACAGACTACATTACTGTCACATAAAAATTCATTTAAACCTTTTATGAATACGCTTATGCAAAAAAAGAACATCACAAAAGTGCGGATCTCGACATCTGCATAGCGCAGATATGAGCCGACTGAATGAATGAGTAAGTCCAAGCTTACAACGAATGTAATTATGCATCCTATTCACCCCGCGAATGTAACTAACGGAAGAGCAGGCGACCTAAATACGGCCCGTCATTCCATTCGTTCTTCGTTCAAACCAAATGAAATTTCTGTTATTATAAGTATAGAAAAGTCGCTTTGTGATTTTAATGGGGTATTCCAAGTATTTAGCTTTAGACTATGGCCGTTTTTTGTTAACGATAAATGCGCTTTAATGACCGCTATTAACTCGCTGATTGTCGAGTTTTTGTTGTTTTATATGAAAGATATTTTATTTTGTTTGCTGTAATTATTGCTATGCCACAGCCACGTTTGACCACATGTAAATCGATGCGAAGCATATCTGGTTCATGATCGCTAATCGCTAATCATGATAACAGTTAAGTTCGAAAGGAGAATGCCCATTGTATAAGGGCACAATGACCAACCTGTAAATTACTTTGTGCCTTTGAAATTTTAATTGTATATAACATTTTAAACGTTTCTTTTATAAATTAGATTTCATCATGTACGGGGCATTTATGTTGTCGACATAAATGAAGCAATTTTTTTTAACTGTATAATATTTTAAGTCAATTCACATAATGTAATTGTAATACGAAATGTAATTGACCTACCCGTAAATAAAATTAAAATTCATATAAAGAACATACTTAGAGTAAAGGCTATTACAAAGTTAATGATTATTTAGCCTTCGCTTTGTTCTATAACGACTAATTATATGTACCAACCTATGTTCTACAGACTTTGAAAACTGTATTTATTATTGTTATAATACGTGGGCCAAAATACTTTTTTATGCCTAAAAACCTGTCCCTTTGAACTACTGTTGAATTTTACGGTAAAACACTACAAAAGTGTAAAATAAGTATGCTAATTTCAAAATATTACATTATTGTTTAATACAGAACACAAGATTTGACCAGTAAAAATACATCATTATAACAAAAAATATAGTAACGATGTTGTCATTCTTAGTAACGCATTTGTTCTTCATACAAAATACAGTTGTCCTTGAGCACATGTCTCAAGCTTCTCTGGATTTTTTCCACAATATTTCCTAGGTGGCGATTCATAATGAATTAAGCCCTAAACCTTATTTATAATGCCAATAAATATATTTTACATCAAAAAATTATTGGAGTAAAAAAATATTTTGACTGTGTCCCTAACAAATACTAAAATCGTAACTACCTTGCGTTGCTATATGAAAATAAACCTTTAAGTGAGTGTATTACCCTTTTTTGCACCTTATTCGGCTTTACATATTGTAACTCGTATAACGAACGATGGCAACCGCGGGGGAAGAGGACGCTCTTCAGATCAGTCGCGTCGGAGTCGTCGGGGGAGGTGCGTGTATTTATTACGTGGCCGCTGAGTTACCACTGTCGAAAGGTACGTATTGACAATATTTACATAATATTTGTTTTATATGTCATGTATTGGATCTGTCAGTGTTAGAATATTTGCACATTGTTATTTCATTTAGTGATTATATACAACATAGTCAAATATTTACAACTGCGATACTGCTACACTGCGTTACTTGAAAATGTAACGCAGTTGTTGCATTGGTAACGCAATTGTGAATATTTGACTATGTTGTAAATAATCACTAAATCGAATACCAAAGTGCAGATATTCTAACACTGACAGTACAAAGACATGACTAACTACATATAAAACTAAATAATATATTTGTCAATGTTGGTGATACGTTATTTAAGCCTTAATTTTCATATATTGTTTCTTTTTTATCTTAGAGAAAAGATTCTGCGCTAAATGGCGTTAACAAACGCAGAAAAACAACGTCGCTATAGGCTTAAATTAAAACTAGACCCGGTGAGAAATGCTGAAGCTAAGAAAAAACACCAAGAAAGGTACCATGCAAATAAAAAACTTGTCAAAGATATGACAGAGCGAGAACATAGGAGTACTAAGCGTAAATGGAAAACTGCAAATAAGAAACGTCGAGAACGACAAAAAACTGCTCAACAAATTATGGACATTACACCGACGTCGAGCCCGCGGTCAGGAACTCCAGTTTTACCGAGGTCTAGAGGCCGAAAACAAATACGAAGAGATAGATCTGCAGTGTACAGAAATAATTTGTAATTGCAGGAAGAAATAGAAAAGTTGAAAAGAATGTGTAGTAAATATAAAAAGAGATACCATAGAGCTAAAACGTCAATCAAACACACGGAAAAAGTAAATAAGCTTAACCAAAATAAGTATTCAACATTAACCAATGCCATCAAAGACCATTACAGAAGTTTGAAGTCAATCAAAGAGAAACAATCATTAAAACAATTTTTCAAGGAGAAGGCTTATCTAACTCTACAATAAAAATTGCTATTGTACGCGATACGTTGGGAATTGATCTGATGAAAGTGATGAAACGACAGCAGAATACCTCAAAGAAAAATCTGGTTAACAGCATTAAAAGCTTTTTTGTTCGTGACGATGTTTCTAGAGCTTCGGCTGGAAAACGGGAAACTGTCACTTGTAATAAAATTAAAATACAGAAGCGATATTTACTAGACACAATGAAAAACCTATTTCAATCTTTTAAAAAAGAAAATCCAGAATTGAGATGTTCTTATTCGTGTTTCATTAAAAACAGGCCATTTTATATAAAGCCACCTTCAGTTTCTGGAAGAGAGATTTGTCTATGCAAGATACATACTAATGCGCAGTATATTTTAGATGCTCTCTACAACACCAGGGTTATCGCTCACCAAAACACTGAAGGAGTTAAGCAAGGTCCGTTTGTATTTATTGACGTACAGTGACATACAAAACATTGAAAAAGCTCAACCTAAAAACCTTGTACCACTTCAAGGTACGATGCTAGTACATCAAGTTTTTACTGACACCTCCGGTGAACTTCAATATAGAGATCTCAGTTGCTTTTGCCAAAGAGGTTTTTGCTCATGCATGAGCCCAAAAACTTATCACCCTGTTCCTGCTCCCGTTATTGACACACTTACAGAAGGTATTCTCTTTGATGGATTGGATGAGGAAATAGTTCTCGATGATATTTTATATATAATTACCGTACCTAGAAGAACATTTTACAATACGGTTTATTCCACACCTTCCAGCTCTGATGACGAGTTCTTAGCCAGCTATAGCCAACCATCAGTTTCTAATATAAAAGAAAGGCAATTAATTGAAAAGGAAAATATTCATCCTACAAAGATATCAGACGGTGTCCATATCTTAGTAAAAGTGTCTTCTGTTAAAGACAAATATTAAACTTATTTAGGTGTTGCTAAAAGTGAAGTTGATGAAGAAGGAGACGTCAAAATAATGTTTTACAAGACAGTAGATAAAACTGGTAAAAGGTTCAAAGCAGTAGATACTGATATTTCTTACGAACCTTACGATAACATCTTAGAAATTGTTCCTAATCCTAAAATTGTCGTAAAAGGTAAAAGGATATACTTTGATTATGATAAGCCATTAAACGTCTTTGAAAAGTAGGACTGATTTGAAAGTGTTCCATTAGTTATTAAGGTTGATTTTGTGATTTTTATTTTTTGAGTTTTTAAATTTATTTCATTGAAGATACTTAATTTTATATCGTGTCATAGGAACTTATATTTTGTTATGTTTTTATCGTTATACTAGATCTCTATAGAAAGTACAAATATTGTATGTACAAGAATTGTATGTAAGAAAATACTACCGTGTTACTGGGCTTACTACTGCGTTACTTTTGTGTCCCTCAGATTTTTTATAGTATTTTCAATATATCTATGATTCTTATTATTTAACGTGCTTTAATTTCATACGTACGTATTACTCATCAAAATTGAAAGATTATGTTGTTAGTTGGTATTAATTTTAAGTTTTTATTTGTGATAAATAGAAAAGTTTATGTTATAAAATTAAATTTTGGTAACGCAGCAATCCAAAGTAATAAGGATACTCTATGTAATTGAAAACTTCTGTGATTTAATTTTATAAGAAGTTAATTATAAGCGTTACAGTTTAAAACTGACACGTTGTGATTCTCTTTGTACAAGATTAATAAAAATTAAAAATAAATTCAAAACGTAACGCAGTTGTTTAATTTTCCGACACCTTCATATATTGTTGACCATAACTATAATTAACTCATTTAAACTAACGCTGCAGAGGTAGGTACATTATAAACCGAACTATAACGTATCTATATCTGCATATAAAAATAAGAATATTTATATTTTTATAAAAAAAAGAAATTTAAAATCGTATGTTTAGATTAGGCATTAAAAAGTATTTTAGCCCACGTACCATTTTGGTAATGACAAGATTTTTGTAAATGTCATTACTTATGATAAAGAGCTGGTAAGTTTCTTTCGCTTGTTCTTCTTGTCAGTATAAAGACGTTCTGAACGAACGAACGAATGTCCTGTTCTTTTTGACGATTTAAAAGTCCTTGAAAGAAGCATACTTAAATAAAGACATTTACATTTTATTTCATATTATAAGATTATTTTAGCACCGCCTACTCACAATACATACAGCTTCATGTTCAAGTGATTGCGTTCTTAAATGAATTTTCTAATTATTTGCATTGTGGATAGTTTCGGTATCTTTACCCAATTTCATAACACAAACAATCAAGAGTCCTCATTGGAGATCGTTGCAGAATACTTCGAGTCCAATTCTCTTTCACGAAACACAGATAACAACGTTGCTGGAAAAAGATACCTCGACTACGTCTCTCACTCAAAAGCATAATATACAAATAGTTAAGGAACTATCTTTGAAAAGTTATTTTAAATAAAACCATTTATTGTAGATGCCAATGTTAATTATTAATATATAATGAATAAAATATAAATTGTTTTTAGATATATATAGCCTTAAGTAGGATATGCATTCTAAATAATAAGTTGACAATATTATATTATATAAAGTATGGCCTTTAGTACTCAGAATTTGCTACACCCTTACAGGGTGTCACATGAACTGTAAATATAAATGTAACATCTTTATACTTGTGACATGCAATACATGAATAAATAAATAAATAAATAATTCTGAGCGACCCTATTTGAAATAATTCATTTTCATTTAGCGAAGAGGGAGTTGGGTTATCATCATCATCATGATCAGCCCTTTTGCGTCCCCACTGCAGGGGCTCAGGCCTTCCTCATGGATGGTTAAGGAGGATGGGCCATGACCCTCCACGCTGGCCTAATGTGGATTGGAGGGTATTAACGACTGCAAATGCAGCCGGGACCAACGGCATAACGTGCCTTCCGAAAAACGGAGTAGCTCGAGATAATATTTTTTTTGGTCACCCATCCCGTGACCGACTCTTGCGAAAGTTTTCTTAACGACAACGATCGCGGGCAGCGGCTCTTATCCACTACGCTACCGAGTTATTTATATGTTAACAATATTATAAAAAGTAAAGATTTTATTTTTTGCATCGACTATGCTCCAAAACTACTATTTTAATAATTCTTTTACTTACGAGAAGCTGTATCATAGGCGGGTGATAGGCTATAATATACGCGGTGAGCTAGTGTTTTGTAAACTCTAAGTGTTCTCGTATACCTATGCAATAAACTTGTCTATTTCAAGGTATTTGCGTTTATCAACGAGCCCTTTTCATCTCAATTGTAGTATCTCGTTACTTATAGTCAGAAATACCGATTTTCAAGGAACGACGCATTTTCCCGTTGACATTGACGTGGGTGTTGTGAATGGATGGATTGAGTTGGGCCAGTGAAGATAGCCGGAGATCCCCAAACTTCTTAACCCAGTCCTGTATACGTAACAGATTGAGCTTTGCCATGTTCACAAATTGTTGTTTTCATTTTGTATCATTTTTGGTATTAATTATAATTACTAAACCTTTATATTTTCTAGACTTTATTCACAATTGTAAAGAATGTCAGTCCAGTAATTTCGACGACTGTTGGATGCTTATAAACAAACATCAAACAAAAAACAAAACTCTCCTCTTGATAATATTAGTATAGATAAAACATAATAATTGTAACAATGTTTCTATCTTAAAAACTCGTAAAAGATCCTTTGGATCAGCTCGGAATATTTTGTGAAATTATATTTTTATGAAATTTTTATATACACTCTGAAATAGACCGCCAAATTAAATTCAATCGGTGCAGTAATTTTAGAGGCAATCGGCTGTGATAGACGGATAGATAGACATTTAAATTACGTAATAAACAGACATTTTGTTGTTTCAAACACACCCATTACTAAAAAGGCAAAAGAATATTATCGTACAGCCAAAAAAATCCCTTTGTTTCTTTTAAATTGTATTAAAATGCTCCCTTAACTTCCGCTTGCATTCCAAGTACCTAAATGCTTGAACAATTAATTTTCCTGTTCAATGTTTTTCCAGGGTAATTAATATCATACTTTAAATTAAGTATTATTAACGCTAAACTTCTATTTAAACAACGACGGTAGTCATAAAACTGTTTGGTATGTCGAGCTATAGCGTGCTTCGCTCATATATCCCGTGTTTCATTAACATAAACATTAACATCGCACTTTGTAACACACCCAGGACAATACTTTATGGGATAATAGCCGGTTTGCATAGTTGTGATCAATTTGTCATAATACTCTTTTTAACAGTGTTCTCACGGTGTTCCACCGGTGACCGGTAGTAGGTTCGAAATTGTACTTGAAAACCCTAATCTTGAATAAGTTATTGTACTCGTTCATTGTAAAGACTGTAACACTGACTGTTGTGTTTCGTCGTGTGAGTGAGGGTACCGGAGGCCCAACCCTTCCCTATTCCCTATTCCCTTCCCTCTACCCCTCAACCCTTCCCTCCAAGGCCGGCAGCGCGCTTGTAGCCCCTCTGGTGTTGCAGGTGTCCATGGGCGACGGTAATCACTTACCATCAGGTGATCCGTCTGCTCGTCTGCCCCTATCCCATAAAAAAAAAAATATTCGTTTGTTATTCGGTATTCGGCGTTTTCGTCATCTTTTATACTATTTATATACGTCCGAATACTAATATTATATTCGGTTTTGGTGCCGAATTTATTTGGTTGGAGCATTTCTAGTTTCTTGGCTACACAAGACTATAGTACTAAAAGGCAAAACTTCTTAGCTAAGATTTATCTTATATTATAAATCAAAAAATCCTATGAAGAATGTGTTCAATAAAACTAATAAAATTGAGCAATGATTTTCAAATCAACATTTGTTTTACCTGTTTACAAGTATAAAACAGTGAACTGGTAAACCAAATAATTCGGCCTAATAGTCGGTTCGGTAAAGGTTAAACCGAATAGTTTTTATGCTAATATTATAAAGAAGATTTGATTGTTTATTTGCATCGAACGGGCTCCAAAACTAAAGTACCGATTTTAAAAATTCTTTCATATACTGGTAGCTTCATCACACGGGTTTGATATTTGCGTGCGAAGCTAATCTGTGATGAAAATGTGTATATATAAATTATTCATTTTTATATATATCTATATATAAAACTAGCTGTTTTCCCTCGATTTGTCCCTACACTACTATTTCTTTAAATTACATGCACAATTCAAATAAACATATTAAAATTAAATTATATGAAGTCCTACTCTGCTTCTGTGCGATATGACACTTTTTAATAAGAATAATAGAGTAGCAAAACTGTTGGTTCTAGAGATTCATCATAAACGTCTATTGTAACAAATTGTACAGCCTAAAATATTACTTTGAAACTTTTTGGCGGGACCCAACAGAAGGAACTACTTCTCTGAATGCATCGTTTTCAGCAATTTCCAATAATTACGAGTTGTGTTCCTAGTTCGTGCGCTGTCAAGTGATTTTATTACGGAAATGAATAAATTTATTTTTGTCCAAGATTTCTCTGAATTTAATATTTGATAAATGTAAACAAAAATGAGATTTGATCTTGAAATGCTATTTCCAAGATGTATTAATAAAAATTGACATTTACATTATTAAATATCCAATGAAGTACAATTTATTTTAAGGATGTCTTTTTAAAGCATAATTTCTATATTCTAAACTAAGCTCTAAATTGTAAACTTATTGTTAATAAAAAAATCCAACTTCACATAAATAACTTTCAAATAATGAATTAAATATTTCCATAAATCTGCATAGTACCAGAAAAGTGAGTTCGTGTTTTCCATAATCCGATCTGAATTATGAAGAAAATTCTCTGTGGGTTTTTGTAGCCATTTCGCATAATAACAGCCGCCATTTTGTGTCTTTAGAATTAGAGTAATGTTTTCATTGGCAAACTCACCACCTTTGCTGACTTGTGTTTAAGTAAATTATAATACTTTAGAGTATTATAAATATTAATACGATACGACAATTATCATACCATTGATAAGAATGTAGCGTTGTCTGATGCTTGCACATAATTTGGCATATACGAATTGCGACTGAATTAATATAGGTTAAGGTTCATTTTTCGTTGGATATTATTTGTGTAGGCCTTCATTCGTGTTGTCTGTATCGTTTTAAGGACAGAATAACACAGGGAGTTTATTACAAATTTGCGGTGGGCTCCTCATGTTTCGCACGTCCACATTAATGAGTGACCTTCGTGTAGTCACCGTTTACACATTTAAAACGAAGGCACAGCCAACACAGTTGAACCTTATTTTTTTGTGTTAAGTTTCATATTTGCTTACTTTACAAGTTGTAATGTATGTTCAATTTATATACTTAGCAGTTTATACTGTATGTTACTGAAAAAACGTAAGTAATAATTTTCAGAGCATCCCAATGTTTCATAGTAAAATAATTTTCAAAGTAGACACTTAAAAATGAATATTTATTCTTAATGAAAAAAGCTTAAAAAACCATTTGTTCCCGGGCAGTGTAATGTTATCTTCATTTCTACACCACCTGCAATCTAATCCTGGTACCTTCTCTTCTGGAGGCTATCTTTATCCGGACACCTGGAAGCTCGAGCAGCTACTCAGCTTTGAGCTATTAAAGGATTTCCTGCTTGACGCTCTGGGAGATACTACGCCTCTTCATGACTACGCACCAATCGCCTACGCCCCTCAATACTGCTAGAGGATATTGCCGTCCTCTTGAGCTGAAATCAGGCCACTTCTGTCGTCCTTTCAACGTCGCCAACGGAATTTCACCGCCGACCCACGCCCCTTTACGGCACCACCTTCACTACTAACATACTCATTACACTTCACAACTCTCCTCACATACCTCTTTTATATTATTTCTGTACAATCTTTCGTTTTTGTCAATAAATTATTTAATTAGACTTATCCTCTTTAAATTCTGTAGAACCTTTGTTTTATAACACAATAAATTGTAATTGTCAACCATCGGCCGCACCGTATCTGTGATCTATATATTTATATTGTCAATAAACTCATTATTTAGTGCTTGTCATCGTTCATTTTCATTAAACATTCCCATTTCCATTAGATCTCCGCTTCAGTTCTCATTAGAATATTACTAATTTGAATATATCCAACTACGACTATAATTTTGGAAGTCAGAACGTGAACGTGAAAATAAAAATTAAAACTTCAGAATTTGATTTCCCTGGGGAGCTATCTTTAGCTATTCCTGCCCCAAAAATCAATCTGAAACCTCCAAAAGCTCCACCTCCTTCCGTTCCCCGCAATTTTTTACAATTAACGGATTATAATCGTGGAGGTGGCCACGTTGGAGCTTTACGAGCCAATCTCTACGGCACGTGGACTGAATCCAGAATTGAGCCCCACCTGGATTAAGCCTGAAAACGTTAAACAATCTGAGCGACTCTAAAAAGAAGTCGCCTGAATATTAAAGTGGGCGATCTCTTTTGTTTTTTGCATAATTCACAAGCTTATGTTTGTGTGTTGCTTTATAAGTATAAGTGAACCTTTTTTCTGTAATATTTAGAGTGTATTCGAGATACAATGTTGAGGAAACGAATGTTAACTCTTACACTTCGGACGCATGATCGATGCTCGCCTTTTATTTAGCTTATTGTTAATTTATTACTTCTTTTTCTATAACCACCCGATGTCCCGCGACTTCGTCCGCCTAATTGATAGCCTATGTGCTTCCTGTAAGTGAAAGAATTTATAGAATCGGTCTACTTTTACCTTAGAACAAATATCGACTTTATTTTCTTTTCGGTCATTTTTAGTTCTCTGTATTTATAGAACATTCAAAAGCAATTACATTATAAAAAGGAATTAAATTTTGAAATAATAAGACGATATGTTTCATTTGTTATGAACAGCACTGTTTTCAATTATATTATTGTACGTTAAATATTAATATCTAGAGTCAGTGCTTACATCAAGTCTGTTTCAAATTGTTTCAAGTACCAGTAACGTCTCGGAAAACACCAATCACTATTCATTAGACCAACTACCATATCCCAATTACAAGATAACGTTACAAGCTGAAGGGCTCACATGGCTTATCGTTTATCTAATTGGTAGACGTCGGGTCACAAACCAGATTTGGCACAGATCTTGATAAACACGGGATCTCCTCCCTGGCCCGAAATGCGTCATATCCTTCAATCATTTGTAACGGACAAGTCAAACATCCTGGGGTCCAAGTCAAAGATAATCCAACGGTTTTAATAACATCACCAGCAATAATGTTAATACCATTTCATTTCATTAATGGGTCACGGACCTTCATACATCTAATGAAAGCTACCGTTTTTGTACGGTTCACGCCACTGGCTAGTGAGGTCCTGAAATTTAGTTGTTAAAGTTTATTATTGCGGCGGGCGTCAAAACAAAGTTTCTAATTATACAGGAATTGATATATCGGGCAAGTTCGTGCTGCGCAGTTCAGAAATAGAAAAAATATGAATTTCAGGGGTAACTTTGTGATTTATTTTTCTATCGAAACAATTTTATAACCAACGAGGCTATGACCCATGAGAAGCCTAACTAGTTTTTTCATTTTTAATAACAGCATATTTAGATGTTATTTTTGTACACAAGTATGTAAATTTTTGATGTGCGCGCACTCTTAAATCACAATAAATTAATCAAGTTCATTTCAGTGTTGTGTACATTATATAATGTGACGAAAAAGCATTAGAACTGGAACCCTTATACTCTATTTTACTTGAACTTAGTTTCGCCATTCAGCTGTAAATTCGTAATGATTTTTCATATCTTGGACCATACAAGCACGTTTACATATTACGGACGTAGCCCCTGCCTAATAGCCGAATAATTTGTTGTGCCTAGCTGTCTGGCTCGCCTGCAGTCCTTCTATTGTTCCTCGTGCCCCAATATGCAGATGTAATCTCCATGAAACAATCGAGGGGTTTGTGAGTGGAATTACAGGATATGTAGGGCAATTCGTTTATGTCAACAGGTCCTACAGAGGAAATTAGGCAGGTATTTTTTTTATTCGTTTCAGAAAATATTTGTTGATGATGACAGTTTTGGAGTTCACATTCAGTTTTTGACACTTACTTTACTTAGCAAAGAACATATCTGCTATCTGTGAAGAATCGTGTGACTAATACTCCAGCACACCATCAATAGCACTCTCGTGCTTTTATTTCGAATTCTTTGTTTGTTGAACCAGGGTCAATGGGACGTCTAGAGATACACCGAAACATTAGTCTAACAAATTCTTTTCCCTTCATCTTTAAATCTTTTTAGTTTCTAGACGCGCCGGTCACGGATATTCGCTAGTTTACATAAATGATGAAAGGTAAATACCTTCGTCTATCTCAGTCTTGCTTCAGTAGGGTTGACAAATTTTTACTTACGATTTCTACCTACCTATTTTCCGAATTTTATATATGATGCACATCAATATATAGGTATTGTTTATCTATTATTTACTTCTTATATATACTTAAAATTCGTTTTAAAGAACACTAACTTATGAAAGACTATAACAACCTTCACTTAGCTTTTCATTGTAGCTTATAATATTGACCAATAAGTTAAGACGACTCCCGAGAAAATGTTGAGTAAAATTTTTCATTTTGTTCTGGGAAACTGAATCAGTATGTTCTTGGAGTTTTTATTTAACTGATAACCCTGGTTTAGACACGTGTATGCTATAGGTGCTTATGTGCGTGTCCTAGATTTTGATGTTTCCCGTCACGGCCCGCAAAAAGTCCCGGTGCGATCCTTATTCCTGTGACGTCACCGCGGAATGACGTGTACAAATCACTCTGCAGAGAGAATGTTTACGTGAGTACCGCGTATTATAGGGTACCCAGGTTTCAGAAATCGTTACTGGCAATAAGGACACAATTTTTGGGAGATTTTTGGTTAGTTATACTCAATAATAATATAGTTTTAAAAAAACCTGTTCTATTCGTGTTGCTAACAGCAAATATGCGCTACTGTGCGTACGAGCCTCGTTTCGGCACCTGAGATGGACAAATTTTATAAACTATTTATCTAAGATAAATCAGTTGAAATTATAATTAATTATTTAAATGAACATTTCCACGCCTCGATAAACGCACGAACGAACAATCGATTATCTGACATTGATTATGCACGTGTAGTGAACACGCCAAGTCAGGTATGCACAATTGTTAACACGCATGACGTCATCTCTCATCTCAATGAACATCGACATATCATTTATGATTATTATTTAAAATCAAGTACTTTAGTAAATATATGTACTTTATATTAATTTATATAAATTTTTACACATTAATACGAGCCGAATCGTCAGAATTCTATATCACCTGTCATTCATTTCATTAGTGAAGTATAAACATTTAGGGAATGCGATCTACATTTATAATCTTGCATCAGGTAAATCTCGATTTAATCCCAATGGTTATACCCAATATCTCCTTAAAAATGTTTTTCCATAATCATCAATCCCGTTTTAAAAATTGCCAAGACACATTTTTCATAACTCCTTTTTAGAAGTATAGGGGCCGATTACGCCGACCTGTTCAAATATTAACGGTTAGGATGCTGTGCACCCGGAGATTTATGGATTCGCCACATCTCCCACGAAATAGGGTCGGCACATTCCTAAATGTTATTGACGTACACCTTCAGTGACCCACCCTTTCATTAGACATAAAAAAAATGAAATTAGCGTTTAGATTTGATAAAATTCAGTTTATCCAACTTTATTTATAAGGTAAGTGCACCAGTAGCAACAGATTAAGCAACATTTTGAAACTATTTTTGATGATGTGACTCTGTAAAATGACTTCAAATTATTTGGCATTAAAATCGTAAGATGGCGTTATATCTTTTAGATCTCGCTATCTGTTTTCTTTTGGAATGATATAAGTTTATGGTGTATTTAATTCGTCAGCAATAAACCCTGCTGTGTACAAAAGTTGTTTCCTTTTTGAAGTACACTCTCGAATTGGTCTTTGACAACCGAGGGTTGTTCAGACTCAAACGTTACGAAAATAATAATATAATCTGTAATATTTACTTACCATAATTATGTAACTATTAAAATTTTCCTAATTGCTATTAAGTTTATTTTTATAGAAAAAAGAATGTACAAATTTTCGATTGAGATAGTTTTTCGATTATGATTTCGATTTTCGGTTATGATGGATGGTTGGTAGAGGCACAGCAATGCTACAAAACGTAAAAAAAAGTCGGTAAATTCAAACAACGTAAATATTTAGGTTTGAATATTGAAATGGCGCACTACTGGTTCCTGGAGAAGGACTGGGTCATCCACCCTAATCAAATGTCGTTAATCAGTTGTGATAGATTTTAGTTATTTATATCCAAGAACAAGAAATTCTTGTATGTGGATTGTATAATTTAATGTTGAATTTATTCAGAAAACTGACCACACTCTTCTACTCGGAACAGTCACTGCACGTACGTACATCTTCCAAGGAATATCGAGTCGTTACAAGCGATTTTGAAACTAACTATAAATGTATTAAAATTCAAAACAATTAAGCAATTTAGAGCTGCGATAGTTTCGAATAACGTGACATAATATTTTAGTTTACCGTTAGTTTTTTCGTGTACTAATTAGTGTAATTACTTCAAATGTGTATATTCCTCTCTAGTGACATTTCAAATATGACAGTATTATAAATGGGATTTTTTTTTCAAAAAATTTTGTGTTTTTGTAGTGCGACAGCCCTAAGAATACAAGTATTTAATTTGTAACCACCACCAGTTGTATTTTCTGCGCAAATTAGCGAGTGTTGTTGAGATGTGCGTAGAATAACTTGCGTCAATTGGATCTTGTTAGCCGCCGCCGCGCCCGCCGACGAGACGTGATACTCATTTATTTTTATTGTATGATTATATAATTATTGAATTGAAAGACAATAGAAGCGCTAGTTTTGCGTTACAAAAGCAGATTTAGCTGAAGAATACGTACGTAAATTAACTAAAACATAAACTAAAAGCATAAATGAAATTAAAAAGTATGGCCAAACCGATCTTGTTACATACAAGCTTCCGTACGGAAAAATCGCCTTAGTTTTGTTCCAAAATTTTAATGCTAAATTTCTTTGGTAAGGTTTTAGAAAATGGTTACATTTCGTAAATGTGACCTGTCGTATGGAATAAATTAACGCTGCATTTTTTATCTCTAATAAATTAACAGTGACCATTTTTTTAAATCTATGTGGAATAGGAACGACAGGATGGATATGAACTTACAGTCGAGGAAATTGACTTTAAGCGATTTTACATTACCAAGTTATAGACATAACCTGCTAGGTTTATTAATAACTTCATATGTGATAATTGCAACTGTCCAACTTTAACGGTTTATTAGAAACAGTTTG